TTTTTTTTTTTTTTTTTTTTTTTTTTTTTTTTACCCATTTCAATAAGATTACTTTTACAAAGCCATATTTCAAGATTTTCTTATTACAAATATGTAGGTATTTCCTATTAAAATGGAAACCTAAAGAATTTTGATAAATATCATGAATGTTTTATGATTTATTTAATTAGTAGATCTTTATATGATTTCTGTATACAGAAGGTATCCTTCATGTGATTCTGGCTGAAATGTGATTATACTATCTAATTAGCTGTTGAAACATCCATTTGTTTTGATTGTTGATTTAGTAAAACATATAATGGACATGTTTATTTGTAGTCTAAGTAAATTTGCCTTAAAACAAGAATATGTTGTTGCTGTATTTTCCAAAGAGTCCTTGAACTTCTCTGTTTATTTATACTCAATTCTGTCCATCCTCTTTGTATGATATTGTTTTTAATTTTTTTATAAGTTTTGCCATGTAGTTTTAAGAGAGGCTTCATTTTTTTACTATACCTTTCAATATTTTTTTCTGTAATATCCCCTACCCCAAAGTAATATTTGTTTTTCTTTTTTTTTGTCTTTTGGGTTTTAGGGTGGTATGATTTTGTTTACACATTCTTTCCCAAGCTTAATTTTAAGAATTTCACTGTTTGTAGCTTTATATTTCACAACTTATTTCTTCTTAGACATCAGACAGAAGCAGGTGGACAGTGAAAATGAGGAGGAAAAATCAGATGAAGAACAAAATAGTAGTGAGGAGAACAGTGAAGGTATTGTTGTTGTTTTTTGTTGTTGTTACAATAGTAAATTTTATTATTTCTATTACATTTGACATTAAACATAAAATTATTCATGCTATTCTGTAAAAAGTTAATAAATAATAATAAATATTTAATACCTTAGTCACTTTATGTACTAAAATGTTTGGAAATTATTTTTGATTTTGAAAAGGATTAACAAATTAACCCCAGGGGGGGCAAAAAGTTTGGTCCATAAAATTAAAACTTTGATTAAATTAAAATTTGATTTAAACAAAACCATCATGGACTATTATCAAGACCTTTCAGATACAGAAATAATGGAAACAATGCATTGTTTTAAAGGTTGATAGTATCATAAGAAAATAACCCATTTGATCTTAAGATATGGTTCACTTAAATGCAAATATTATTGGCTGGAACTTAGCCAAATTATTTTATTATTGTTATAGTCCAATCTTATTGTGGTTTCATTGTTAAAAATGGTTGTGGTTGGAAGCAAACTGGTTTAATTATTCATTTGAAGAAGGTAACAGTTGAAGTTATTGAAAAAGAATTGCAGAATTTGAGTTGTATACACAATTAAATATCTGCATGTCATGTTCAAAACTGCAAAAAACAATTAGTAATATGTCTAGTAATTTTGATGAGTTAAGTAAAACACAAGTGGGTGGTGTGAAGATGAAACTTAAAACTTTTTGACTGGACTAACTAGTATGTGAATATGGTATAGTAGCTGCAGAAAGATAAATTCAATATTCCAGGGGGTATGAAGATGGATAAGATTATTTAACTTTATTACATGTAACTTTAAGCCTTTGTGTGATAATTTACTACTTAGTTTTTACTGCATTCATAATTTCCATGAAACCTTAGTTATTATATGAAATTCTGTTTAGGAACACAATTTAATATTGTTTTTTTTTCAAACTTTTAGAATATTTTTGAATATTGCTTGAAATGTACTATAATTGCTTATATTGGTGTTTCAGTAACTTTTATATTGTATTTTTTAAGGGGTTTCTCACGAGCCAGTGGGGGACATTTTTTGTTGAAACAAAATACTACCCAATCCAGTTTTTCTTAAGTTGAACTGAAATTTTTTGGACATTTTTATTGGCTAAAAAGAAGGTGTTTCCCACACTCTTTTAATGTTTGGGCTGTGAAAAGTGATTGAAAAGTGTAATGTGACTGAAATCTGTCAGTACATATAAGCTTAATGGCCAACCAAATGAAGCATGGAAGTCTCCAAATGACACAGAGAAGTATTCAAGAACTATTTAGATATTGGGCAGGAAGACGAGTACAATATTATGGCTGTATCTGCTTTCAAAGTGTTCCTGTCCGCTCATCCTACTTCTGACTATCTTGATGCTTTGACCTTCCCTACTGAATCGCAGGTGAATATGTGCATATCTCAGTTGAAAACTAAACATAAAAAGGTGATAGCAGAAGTATAAAAGGATGGAAATTGCATACTTAATGATGCTGAGGATGTGGCTTTACCCAATAGGTAGACTTAAGTACAAGCTAGTATGGAAACTTGAGGATGCTGTGTTTCACATAAAAATTTATTAATTAACAAACAAAAACTTGTTTTGAAGTTGTCTCAAAAAGATACATCCAAAACCACCCTCCTTAGGAGTTTCTGGATTGAGTTTACTTTTAATATTCAACAAATTGTAGTTTAACGACACCCCATAGCTCCTGAGGGATGTGTTAACACTGAAACCTTCTGTGTGGTTTGTATATATTGTTACAGAATAGGAAAAACAGAGCTTATTACTGAAGAAATTTGTTTTCATGTTAAACATCAGCAAATTATTTAAATAATAACATAGTTTTGTCTGCAGAGAAAATTTGCTTATATGCTTTATATTAGTAGATAATGAAGAATTAACTAAACCTGGGAAGAGGAAATCTAGTTCAGTGATCATTGATGAAGAAGCCGAGAAAAAACCTAAAATGACCGTAAAGGCTGGACAGTTTGAACCTGAAGATATTAATGCTGCTGAACGTCAGGGTCGAGAAGAAAGAAAACTGGTAGAAATGATGATACCAAAGAAGAAAAAAAGACTATATGATAAAATCATGTATGGTCAAAGGCGAAAATCTCGAGAGGTAATTGTTTCTCGTCATAATTTCATCATTAATGTTGCCTAATTTTCTCCAAATTGACACTCCACTTAGACTTTATAGATATGTTAATCATGTGTAGTTTTTAGCTAGTAAACAACTAAACTTTTTCATGATATGATATTATTATTCATTTAATTACCTATTTCCTTAAAAACAAAATCAGCTTTAATAATATCCATGACTGTAGGTTGCTACATAGAGAAGCAAATGTAGATTTATAATAAAGTATGTGTTAATGGAACAAAGCATTTTATGTTGTTAACAAAATGACTCGTATAAGCTAAAAGATAAAAGTTGTGTGTTTAGTATTAAAATTTATGGGGAGAAGGCTTTATTAACTGCTGGAGTCCCATAATATAGAAACTTGAATGTAAGATATATAAACAAAATATACATTAGACTTCCACAATAGGAAGTTTATTAGTCATTTTATGTATGCTATAAAGCAATAAGATATTTGATTAAATTTGATGGTCTGTTGAGAACACTTCATGGATGTTAGGCATGTGTTCTTTCATCCAAATGACTGCCTCTGAAATACCAGAGTTTCCAGATAGCTTTATGGAATGGCCAAGTTAAGCATCGTTGTATATCTTGATCTTTAACTATTGGTGTTGAAAAATCAGTAGTGTTATTACTAGCTCAAGCTTCATTTGACAGTATTGAAATACCAGTGCATACTTCCAATTTCTAACATATTACTGGTCTCAGTTTTATTGTGTGTTGTATATCTGACAAAAACTTCATATCATTTGGCATTGTTCATAACATTTTTACCTTGCTTTGCAGTGCTATCCTGACAATTTTTCTAAGATGGTTGCAGCTGCTTAACAAGCAGTTGAGTCACATGGCTTTGCACTTCAACATACTTTGTGTTCATATGAGTGGTCTGGCTTTAGTTGCTTGAGTATCTGCTCAGCTAAAAGTTTAATTTTCTCTTTGTAAGGACCAACATTTTTGTACCACACTGAGCACCACATTTTGGATGTTTAGCCCAGCCAAATATAAACTTGCCTGTATCTTCAAAATAATGTTAATCATGCTAGTAAAATCAGTTTATCTACTTGTAACATGCACATGCACACTAATGACCCTGGAGTTCCCATATTTCTTACATTTTCTGTCCATTCCTTAAGCTCATTAATCTCTTTAATTAATTAAATTAATTAAGCTCATTAATACTCTTTTCACCAAAATCATATGTAAAATGTATTTAATCACATGTTAAAATTTGAACAAATGTGGATACCTTTTCTTGTAAACTGGCTGTTAACATGTTGACTGCTGACTACAAGTATACTGGTAGTCCTGGGTGTACCAGATTCTGCCACTGCGAATATACTCGTAGAAAGGATTACACTGTTGTCATATTTAAACAGAAAATTGCTGGCTTCCCCGATAACACAACAAACAATATGTTGGCGGTTTGGGGAACATAAATCTGTAATAATCATGATCAAATATGTATTGTCATTATTTGTGTTGTTGAAATTCACTAAGGTGCACAAAAACGTGATATCTTCACAAAGCTCACTTCAACACAACAAAGACTAAAAAAAGGTATGATTACAATGCAGAAAAAATTATAATAACTGAAATAGGGTTATTCTACATGATCCATGACATTGTTTGATCAGGTCTGAATCAATAAGCAATTGATCAAAATGTATCATTTTATTTTTTCAATGTTACAAAAACTATGTTCTCACATCATAACCAAATGACAAAAAAATACTGTTCAGTAAATGATTACAAATGTCTCTCTTCTTTATTTGTCCATTATTGAGGCATATGGTATTGCTTGAAGCAATTATCTACACAGAATGGCTGGCTTTTCAGGGCAGACATCACACATGTAGTGGATTTCTCGTTTCCTTCCAGCCTTTATACAGACATGACATGGTTTGGTTGGCTTCTCTTTCTTTTCTGTGGGTGGCAAACATATGAGGTAGTGAAATGATTATTCTTTTGGTTTTGAAGTTGCATGTCGACCCTGGCCTTGAAGATCTGCCATGGTATTTCCTAGCAGATGAATTGTTACCTGTTCACGAAACTTCAAGAGTTTTATTTGCTGTCCCCTATTTTTATTGTACAGGAGGTGAGCATTCATAATAAATACTTCAATGGTGTGAAGGGCAACCTTCTTATACCATCATATGGTCTTTCGTGGAGCTGAGCAATATGACAGTATTTCTGTCTATCCCTGACATGGCATTGTTGTAGTCATGGACGATGTTGGGTTTCTTTGAAATTATTTCGATTTGCAACATCAACTGTCTTCACTCTGCGCATGTTGCTAATTGTGAGAATGTCCCTTTTGTCCTTCCATTTACAAACTACCATTGATTCTGACTGCTTCCATTCATGTTTGCCCTTCCTCAACTTTTTCCTGACCACATCCATTGGATTTTCTTTACTATCAAACTGGAGTGTTCCATGTATGTAGGTTGATCGCTCAGTCAATTTTTTCATCAGACCTACAGAACTGTAATAATTATCTGTGTATAAAACATGACCTTTGTCCAGGTTATCAGCCATCAGAGCAATTACAGCAGCTACAGCTTTTCCCAAATTGGTATCTTCATTTAGGGAAGCTCCAGAGTATACATGAATTTTTAGCACCAGACCTCATGATTTGCATAGTTCATAGAGATTGATTCCATATTTGTGTCTTTTATCTTTATATATTGTTGAAACAAGAGCCTGCCATGCCAAAGTACCATGGACTCATCAATACACAAATAATTTCTTTGATAGTAAATGTAGACCATTTCATTATTGGAGTGATCCAGAAGAGGGTGTATCTAATACAAATGATCATTTTGGAGTTGGGAATTGTCTGTGAAATGCTTAAAACATAAGAGCATTTGAAAGCAGTTGTGGCTCATAACACCATTGTAAAGTGATGTCTTCTACAGAATATCGGTGCTTCAAGGTAAGTAGGCTGTTTGGACCCATGTGAATCAACAAGGCTAGAAACTTTTTCATTTCTGTTGCATCAAGGTTCTTCCAGTTTTTTAGTAATGATTCTCTTCTCAGTGCTCACTGGTTGGTTATTTTGGCTGCTGCATATCTGTTTGATTCTGTGACCATAATATCCAATAATTGAGGAATCAGGAATAGATCAAAATAATCTCCAGGTGAATCATCTTGTAACTGAATTCTAAGACCAGATTTTTTATTGAAAGTGGAATTAGGTGGATCTTGTGCAACATTTGACCAATTATGCAATGAGACAGTAGGGTTCGCATTTTCAACTGTTCTGCCTGGCTGGAGCAATGGCCCCTCTTCTATCACAAACTGGTCTAGCAGACCCATGCCCACCACCTCTTGTCCTTATTCCATGATCGCATGGTCATCTAGTGCGGACCCCATGACATCTAGGTCTTTCACGTACTGCCAGTACTCCATTGTCGTCACTCTATGAATACGAGTCTGATAAAACCCTTGGGTCACCATTATGACTAGACTGATTATCACTGCTATCTTCAGTTGTCATTTTGATTTGAAAATTGGTGTCATCTGAGGGCATTTCTGCTGTTCCATCATCAGACTCCATGTCTTAATCATAATTGTCATCATTATCAGTTTCTTTTAGAAGCTTTGCAACTTGATCTGCATTCACACGTGCCATTTTAAAGAGTAGTGACAGTAACAACAAAAAACACATGCAGTACACAGCACATGATTGCCATTTGCAGAAACTTAGTACCAAAGTCAATTCAGTGCTAAAAATAGTGCTACAAGATAACTCATACCTGGTATACAGAATTAAAAATTTTGTCCCATTGCCAGTTACGAGTTTTTCATAATACGGTAATTCCCCACCACTGTATTAGAAATGAACGTATAATTACTCATAAAAGGGTAAAATTTGAAAATAAAGCATATGCTTATGCGTACTTGATTTGGCAAATGGGATCGATGTTACTATAAGAGTTGGCAGTCAGTGTGTTAAGTTATTGCTTTTGCCTGACCATTGGTTCTATGGAAGAAAATTGCAATAGTTTCTAAATTTTATTTTATTTCTTATTTTTTTCATATAAAATACTTAGTTTTAAATTTCATTATTGTATACTACCAATGTATAGTATGCTGTTATTAAATATCTGTTTTAATACATCAAATACTCCTTATTACAAAAGGTATTGGGACAGCACACATTGTAAAAGAGCTGTAGCATTTCATTGCCAGGGTTTCATTGTAATAAGTAGTAGAGTTACCTGAATTCTGTTACTAATAGGACTGGTGTGGCCTAGTAGCTAGTACACATGACTGAATATTGGGCATAATGTGAGGCATTGTATTAGTGACAGTCAATCCTACTGTTCATTTAACTCTTTTCACTACAGGCTTGGTCTCAGGGACTGACCTCATAACCATTTTGTGCTTGTTATAGCTTTCAAACTATAACTATTAATACAGATGTCATATCTTCACGAAATTTTACATATTATCAGTTAATATTACAAGGCATTCATACTCAAATATAAATTTTTTTTATTAAGGTTTAAGATTTTTTAAGTAATGATTTGCCCATGCATTTATTTCTTTTCAAATTGTGACTATCCAACTTGAAAGGAATTTTTATTTTAAGATTAAAAATACTTTTATACTTCAGAAAATTGTCAAATTTCAGATGGGAAATTTTTATTAACACCATTTAATTATCAAACGTTATTTTTAGAAAAATCTTTGTATTTTATCTGTTATTTTCACTATTGTATATCTGTATGGGTTTGGTTGATTGACCTACTTTGTAACCAATATAAAAATTAAAATTAGTCCATTTAAGGTGTCATTAAGATTGAAAACACCATGCCAACTATTTATTAACTCTTGCCTTCAACGTTGCTACACATCTTGTTAAAAATACCACATTTTCTTTTGCAACATAGCTCCAATTTATAGTGAAATATTTGTGGCCCATTTTTTCTGATTTTGAGCCACCTTTCCATTCCATCCCAGATTGATATACTTATATTCAGGTTGAGGTTTTGAACTGACTGTGGTAGACTGGACATTTTTCCCAACCAGAAGAAGCAGTTCAAAGTTATCTCATTAGTCCATCAGTGATTTGTATCTGGTCTTATGTGGGTTAAGCATTCTTTGTACTAGATTTTTCGCTAACCAAAAAAAAAAGGAGGGGTAGATGTTTAACATGTATTTTTTAATGTAGTCATTTTAGTATATGAAAACTTTTTAAACGTTTATAAGCTACTTTTAATACAAGAACAACTATTTGATATTGGTTTAAATAGGAAGGTGTGAGAGTTTCATTCTTTCTGGCCCAAACAGTAGTTATATTTTGATCCTGAGTATTTATTAAGAATTGTAGATATTGATACAATTAAAATTTAGTTAATTATAAGCAAAATTTTTTCTGGCATTAAATACAATATTGTTTTTCAGGCTGAACATTTGAAGGTCAAGCGAGCAGAATTTGATCGGAATCAGAAGTTAGAAAAAAGACTTAGTAGAGGCAAATAAGGCATACAAGATTTTGGTGTTATTTTACCTCTGTATAACTATTTGTTTTTTGTTGTTGTACATAACACAAAATAATAGTAAAAAATATGTTGTTTTTAACAAATTTGTATTATTTTCTGAATAGATGTACCATTCTTTAATAATTGTAATGTTTGAAACTCAAAGCACCAATATTTCTGAAGGTTTACAACATGGAAATGTTTCCAAATCAAAACATTCTGTGTTCCACACAGAAACCATTTAACTGATTTTGTTTCAATTCGTTATCTTGGGAAAGGTTTGGAGTGATAACCTATAATACATTTGCAATATTTCTAGAATTGAACATTTGACCAATTACATATTTTCAAGTACTACTTAAAAATTTAATTTTATTGAAAAAATGTGTTTTACATATCCCAAACCACTGGTTCAGGCGAGACAACTGGCATCTTAACCTTAGGTATACAGATCCAAGTGCTCCTGTCATACAGTTTACACAGTAGCATTCAAAAGTTAATTAAACAACTTTATAATTGATTTATATTAGAAAATTTGGCATCAAAATGTAGTTAATAAATCAAAATTTAATATTATCCAAGTTCTAATTACTTAATTTTGAAAGAAAATACTGAAATTTTCAATCTTCACTTCTATGTATCATAAGACACTTGTTTGCTATGAACTACCCATTTAAACATTTCTTCCACCCTTATCAGAGATTCTGAATTGTAATAAAAATTACAATTTTATAGATATTACAGACATGAACTAATCTTAGAATCTGCAATCTTAATAATTCATAAAGATAAAAAAAAACCACAAAATGCTATTACATTACTTACAACCAATAGAAAGAGATGATTTTAGTTTATGAATTATGTAGAATGGTAGCTTTCTGATTATAGATTTTGAATTATTCAGTTTAAAGACTCAAAAGTTGATATCACCAAGTTCACTACAAACATAGTAAGGGAATTATTTTAACACACTTATAACTTTGTTAGAAAGCCAGTTAAATTATAATAGTTATAGGACGTTGTATTTTAAATTGAATATTTGAAGTAAATAAAAATACAAATAGTAATCTTATCAAAAATTAGTGTTAACTTTTATCAAGACTTCAAGTGCCAAAAAAAAGATCAACATATAAGTACCAAATTTCTTGTTTTTTATGTACATTTTTTATTTATTGATATAAAAGTAACTAAAATGTAGATATTGAAAACGTATTAGGTTAGATAAGAAAATTAAGTAAAGAAATTATTGGTGAGTTGTGCACGGAAGCTGCATGTTCATTATGTAATTCAATAGTTTGTTTACTGTAACGTGAAGTAATCACTTGCTAGGTGATGATAATTTTTTTCACACAAAGTTAGTGGCATAGGTTAAAGAGCAACAAAACAATGAAATGAAAACAGATTGTTTAGGATAAATAATTGTAATTTTCATTTACAATCTCCAGTTATTCTCAAAAAAAAAATGGGTAACAAGGTCAGTCAAATTTATTAAGCTTGTGAAATGTTAAGTTAGAGAAAATAACCAATCAAACAGAAAATTTTACTGACAAAACTTGGTATTTATTTAGAAAGTTATAGATTTCATTTAAATGAAATATGAAAACTGTAAGGTGAGAAAAGGTACTTTTGTTATTAACAAGAAAATTACTTTGCACTCAGACTAGTCAGTCTAAGTCAGACTTATTAAAGTAAATTCAGAGACAAATCTTTAGTATAAATACTTTATTAAAAATTCTGATTTTTGTGTACAAAATACTTGTAATGTTTTCTAAAAGCTTACCAAATTTTGTGGAGATATATTATGTAAATATTGAATTATTAAAATTAATAGTAAACATTAATTTCTCCAATACAGGCTCAGTCCAGTAGACTGACCCCATGCATGTATGATTGAAGCTTAGTCACTTACTTATGAATTTATCTTCCATTGTTTTGTGTTTTTCAATGTTTTCTTTGCCATTCTATTCCACCCCCCAGTGGCACAGCGGTATGTATGCGGACTTACAACGCTAGAAACCGGGTTTCGATACCCGTGGTGGGCAGAGCACAGATAGCCCTTGTGTAGCTTTGTGCATAATTAAAAAAACAAACAAACCAAAAAAATTCTATTCCTCTTCAGTTTCAAGAGCATTAATTATAGTGGAGGTTATCAGAAAAATCACTGAATAGCAGATGTTAGTAAATTGAAAGGAAACCAGAGATATCAACATATCCCAGTTTATTTTGTTGTGAACTAAATTCCATGAAAAAAACAACAAGTAAAACCATTTCATTTTTTCAGACCACTTAAATTATTTTTATTTTATATATGATTGTTTATTTCTCTCCAAAGCATGGTATAACAAATTTTTGTTCCGCTTTACAGTAATGTCCTTTAATAATCAAAATAAATAATGAAAGAAAATGTTTTCATCACACTCAGTGTAATCTATTCCCTTATAACCCATTACCATCTAGTTGACACATATTTGTCAATAAAATGTTAAACACTTTTAATGGAAGATGGAAAAATAATACAATTTACATTACCACTAACTTTATAGTAATCAGTGCTTTTGTATCCTGAAACAGCTGGTAGTTAGTCGTTCACGAATTTGTAATAAAATCCTCAAATTAGCAACATATGGAAAACATGCAAATAGCTCTAAAATGGCTTGGGTGGAGATGAGTTAAATTTAAATTTAGTATCCTTTTCTAATCAAAATAAATAATGATAAATTTATTTTTGGGATCATCTACATTTTGTAGATATCGTCATATTGTTGCTGCAAAAGGACTTTGTACTGACGAATAAGAGTACTGTGACAGACCAGTGTTGCCAAAACATATTCAGTCATCACAGAAAATATGGCATAATAATTGCCAAAATCACACAAAAAATTGTCCAAAGTAAAAAAAAATTCTTAAATGAACAGAATCAAATGTTGCCTGATCCGAAAAAGAATGTAACAGGAAAAAAGGCAACTGGACCGTGAATATGAAAAGGGAAGAGTTGTTACGTGAGAGAGGATAGTAACTGGTTAGTGGTTACGTTATGGTGAAGATGGTAATGTAATATATTCCTTATGTCATTATTTTTAAGAAGAAATATTAAAATCATTTTTCTGTTTCTCCCAGTGTTCAGCTTTCATATATTTTCGTATTGTACCTGAAATTATGAATTGGTGGCGCACTATCGGAACTGGCTCTGCCTCAGATCGCGCCGGAAAGGCAATGTGCAAGAAGTATGACATACGTAGGTAATTTTGACGCTTACCTGGTGCATGTGTGATTGCTTGTGAACATGAACTCTACGCTACAGATACTGCGGAGTTTAATGATAACATTCAATTCTGAAGATGACTGGAAACAGACTTTAATTAATTAAAAAGAACACACAACTTGAATATAAAGCTGAACAGCAATCCATACTGCAGGCCATGTAGTTCACGAAACTTTGGAGGTATCACATACGCCTAGCATAAGCTTATTTAATTTGGTCTGTGTTAGAACCAGGCTAGACAAGCCTAATGTTAAACATACACTGGATGTTAGGATCGGAGCTAGGCCTAGTGTTAACGTTATGCCTCGGTAATGTAATGGCATAAAGGACAAGAAGGGAAAAAAGTGTTGTGAAAAGTTAAGGCTTTGGCATGGCATATTTGGGGCTCATGAATCTTTGAACGTCCCCCCTCATAACAAGGTTGTAAGGTAGCTTAATGTTATGCAATGCATAGTGATTACACAGGTAGGGTATAGGCTATACAGCCTAATATACCTTTATTGCTCCTGGCTACCATATTTTCTTTTAATTTCCATCTTTTTTTTCAAATGCCAAACTACCATTCTCAAAATTTATGGGTTACTAATGAAAGATATAGGAAATGGATTAAAAAAAAACAAGAAGAATCTCCACATTGCGATCTGTAGTTTGTATGTGAAGGAGATAAATATATCAACTATGGGGACATTTGCATTGAACAGTCACAAGAAAGGGAAAATACATAGAAATAAAGAAAGCTTGGTATCCAAGACACAACCTATAGCCACGTTTGCATCATTGACAACCAAATCATTTAATAAACAAAAATCCAAGTGATAGTCACCAACTTCTTCAGAACCAATTACATCCTATTCTACAAATAGCAACATTTTAAAAATCTTAGATTTGGTGGGCTATTAAAAACAGTCAGTTCAGGTTATTCCTTTAGATCAAGTGAAAATGTTTCATTCATTTGGCAGAAGCAATTTCTAAACGTTGAAATAGCACAAAGAGCAACTTGCAAAGAGACAAAATGCGTGTATTTAAGATGTTATGGTTTAGCTTCTCATCTGAAGTTTCTTCCGGAAAGGCAACTGAAGAATCAACCATATGTATTATTATTTGACGAAAGTGACATTGAACACTTGCAAAAGAAACGTTTGAATTTCCTTATCCGGTTCTGGGTCGTCAAGTCAAGGTGCTACAACATTGATTTCGTTAGTCATGCTACTGCTTTTCATTTCTCTCTTGAGAAGTTAGATTTTCAAAACCTTGTGCAACTGTCTATGGATGGCTGAAACATCAATTTGAGTCTGTATGATAGAGTTGATACTAGCCTTTTCAAAGATCACAATGTTCATCTCCTGAATACAGGTTCTTGTGGCCTTCATATCTTGCATAACAGTTTCAAAGCAGGCTTGAAAGCTTCAGGCTAGAATATAAGTTGTTTCTTTTTAGTTTCCATGCCATCTTCCATGACACTCCATCGAGAAGAGACTATTTCACCATGGTTATAGGAAATAGACTATATCCAAAGCCCTTTTGCAGTCATTGGTTGCTTGAGAATGTTACTTTTGCCCAAAGGGCAATAGATATGCCACCAGCAATTAAGTCTTGCATAGTTGTAACTCAGTCAGGAAGAGTTAAGTCTTCAACTACATACAAAGTCATTTGAAACAGTTAGGCTGGCCTATCAAGATAAACTACTTCATGCTAAGCCTGCTTGTTTCATTTCTGTTACCAAACTTTTAGAACACTTGTAACTGTATATCCAACAGATATAGTCCTGCTTCCATATTTAGCACCAGACCTAGAAAAGCTAATAAGAAAATTCTTAGAGGGATTTTATAAACACGACATTTTAAAAGGTGCTAAAACAACTATGAAGTTGCTTGTTATAGAGATAGAAAGGAACTGCAATCATCTTGAAGCA